AGGTTATATTAAGACTGAACACTAGATGCCGAGAGGAAAGACTACCTTGGCCCAGGTGGTTTGCAAGTCCTTTGCTCACAAAGATCAAACTGAAGACACATCTATTTGATGTGGCACCCGAGACCTATCTCTAGCTACCTCAAGTTGAAAGCAGAGATGGCAAAGTGAGGAATATGGGATGAGTTCAGATCCTGAAATCCTTAGAAACCACATAAAAAGCAAGGTGTGGTGGCATGCACTCGCAATCCCAGGAAACACCTAAGGTTGCCCTCTGTTGACACAAGTGTGCACATGTATCCAGACAATACCGATACACTGTCATGTGTGTGCCATCCTACATGACTCACTGAAGCAGCAGCTCGAGCAGTCCTTAAAAGTATTGCTTTAGCTGGGCGGTGGTGACGCACGCCTTTATTCCCAGCACTCAGGAGGCAGAGAGGCAAGAGGATCTCTGCGAGTTGAGGCCAGCCTGGTCTACAGAGCAAGAGTTTCAGGACAGCCAAGGCTACACAGATAAACCCTGTCTTGGTTTGTCACCCTGTGATGTCCACCACCCTTGGTCCTCCATTTATCCCCAACAGTAAGACAAGGACAGTTTCAGTTTCGAGTTCTCCCATTTCTCAGCTCTATTCCTCAAAGTCCTGCTTTTCAACCCGGTCACGCAGCCCAAGGTACTCTTATCTTTAACCCCAACCCTCTTAAAAATTGGTTTCTGCCTCAAATCCCATTGGCTATTATTTTACAGGTGTCTCCAGAGCCAACCAATGACAAAATACCCCAAATGAAGCATTTGAACCTTGTCTGTCTTCCCTAAATAATACAGCTTATCTCGAAAAGCCTTCCAGAATATGCGCATAGACTCTAAGCAAATGTACACCACTGTACAGAAGATCTGGGCATCCTCGGATTCCAAGGACTGACTGCTATCAAGTAAAGAAGCACCCTACCTGGTCTTTGTTCCCTGTCAAAATAACAAGACAGAAAAACAAGAAACACACGAGGTTCAAAGCCAAATCTAGATTTCTCTGACACACCATAAGGCAAAGGAGCAGCCCAAGAGAATTTATGGGGTCACATCTCTAGACACCATACAGCAGATTGCTCCATATCTCCTATTACCTCAAGGTGCCGGCAAATGGACAGGCAGCTCCGGGCAGAAGGCCGCTGCTGCTCCGCATCTTCCCACCGATCAAGCTGAGTGAGGCATTAGAATATCAGGGAAGCAAACAGAAGACCTCAGCCATGGACTCCCATTTCACACCAGGTACTAGCCACAGCCACTAGCTGTGACAGAGACTCTAACAGCAGGATGGACCAGACAGCTCCAGTTCTACACACAATTCTAGTTTATTATGGCAAAGGTGAAAACGCCACCTTCTCCACAACAGCAACCAGTAAAATTTATCCCAAAAATAACTCGGTACAAAACAGGTCTGTTTCAGAATTTAAAAAAAAAAAAAAAAAAGAAAGAAAAAAAGCCTTTACATGAGTTTTTAGATCCTATTTTAAAACAGGAGAAAAAGAAGAAACAAAAACAAATCCACCATTGTCTGCACAGTCCAGTCGCCAACCCTCCCTCTAGGGATCTCGGACGCAGCTTCTGGGTTCTGTTACTTGTGTGGATTTGCTCGGCTGTTTAACTGGTGTCCATCTGAAAGAGAGAGGTTCATTAAGGAAGCTCTTAATGTTTCTTCTGGCTTCACGAGATCACCACAAACTGATGCAGCCCCACCCAGTCTCCTCTGAGCCCGAGGACTTACCCTGGCATTATAAGCATCCAGCTGTGCGTCCAGCTCCTCCGCAGAAAGCTGCTGCTTTGAGTTCCTGCCGGTACCTCTACCTCTCCCCCGGCTGCCTCCACGGGTTCCTCTCCGGGTGCCACCACCACCAAAACTTCCAGAGCCACGGTTTCTTGTCATGCCACCTCTGTTTATGCTAACAAAGAGAACATAACTCTAATCTACCTGTGCTTTGTTACCACAAACCCACAGCCTCTCTCTCCCCGTCCCCGAGGGCCCAGAACTTACCTCTGTGCTGGTCTTCTTTGCGTGTCAATCTGTGATGTGACGAGCTGGATGTTCATAGGACGGCCTATGGTAAAAAGAACATAACAAGTCTCATCCAGAGGCTCTGAAGCTGATACAGAGGGCACCACACCCTGGTCTCCATGCAAGCTCTGGAAAGGGCTTTGTGTGTCTCCAGTGCCCCCAACAAGGTACATGGCCTGGAGAGTCTGGTGGGAAAATATAGTGGCAATAAATAACCCCACCAACACCTCCTCACTCCTTCTCAGTTCAAGCTAAGAGGGCTGCTTGGTCAGTGTCCAGGGTGCTCATGGGTGGACAGGTGTGGGTGACCTGACGGAAGAAGAACAGGTACCTTTGTCTTTACGACTACAGCCCCGCACTCAGGTTGTACTATGGCGGTTCTGAGAAGGCTTCACAGAAGTGAATCTTCCGGAAGGAGCTGAAGGAGGGGAGGGATGTAGCTTGCTGGATGGGGGTTCACAAGAGGTTGGTCCAGATGTGTGGGGCAGCATGAGAAGTGGCAGAATGGAAGAGAGAGACAAAGGGGCAAATGCAAAGTGTCCTCAGCCACAGGGGCAGCCCACGTTCCTACAGGGAGAGGTGCCAGCCCCAAAACTCCATAAGCCCCGCAGGCATCCTGGGCCCAGCCCCACACTCACCATCCAAAGGGACACCGTTGTATTGTTTCATAGCCTTTAGGGCATCTGCCTTCCGTTCAAAGTGCACGTCTGCTGTCCCTAAACTTCGTCCAGAGCGATCATAGTGCACGGCTGCTTTCTTCAACGTTCCAAATTCGGCAAAGAGTTCCTGGGAAGTGGAAAGGACAGCGGTCAGTGAAGTCGTGAGCCCTGCTCCTTCGAGTGGCTCATTAGGTTCTGCGAGCACGCGTGCTTTGGGGGCGCTTTACTGACAGCCACCTGGGAAGGGGCAGGACAGTGGACATCAAGAGGTGAGGGAAGGGACGCTGAAGAAAGAGGGACAATTTTCATGAGCACCTGGGTTCCTGCCCACTTTGGGACTGCGCCATGATGCCGGTGAGGACAGCACAAAGCCCTGGCACAGAGCAGATTAAGAACTACCTCTCTCAGCAGGGGCATTACAACTCGAATAATGGCTGCTTCATCAAACAGCAGAGGCCAAGAGCAAAACCAAGGGCAGTTCCCACAGAGCAGATAGCTCCGAGGGCCCCCTGACCCCAGCCCCTCCCCCAAAGGCAGATTCTGGCTCACCTTTCCCTCTCCTCCTACTCAAGCCTGCTGCAAAGTCTGAAGTCAAACGCGCCATGGAAACTGCCCTGACCTCAGGCAGGCTGGGAGTTGGAGAGGGAACCCAGGCACACAGCGGGAGTGGAGGTCACCAAAAGCGGTTTCCAGTGGATGCCAGAAACCACCTTAAAAAAAGTGTTGAGACACTGTGAGTGCTCACTGGCCGTGCTAACTTCCCACGGCAAGGCCAAAGGGCTGGGCTCTGAGAAATAAAACCCAGAAAGGCCCAGCACTCCGACCTAGCCATCTCCAAAACTAATTCCCAAAAACTCTAGAGATGCCTCTGAGGTCCAGTCAAAAAAGAAAAAAAAAAAGACAAGAAAAGAGTGCAACGGCAAGTATGAGGACCATGCCCCTGCCCAGACCCAGGAAAGGTCGCTGGTTAAAACACAGGGCTTCAGGCTGTAACGCACACAGCACTGACACCATGCACCCCAGTGCGGCCAGACATCTGGGGGATACTCTGTCTCCCATCAGCTCGCTACCACAAGCACCCCCGGTCACATCGGGCAGCTCGTGCCCGTTAGAAACTGGAAGTCCTGGCAGAGGCAGGAGCTAACGGTGGTCGCCTTCAGGGACACACCAGGCTACCTTCACGCAGCCTGACTTAATAGAAATGCTACTTTCTCTAAGGTCAAGTCACTCGGGGACAGTGGCTGGTCCCGAGGTGGGCGGGCTCCAACCGGGAGGGGGTTCTGGACCGCACGTCTGTGCGGGACGCGCATCGCGACCGGCTCCGGTCTCCTACCTGGATATCCGCGTCTGACACCCCGAAGTCCAGGTTTGACACCAGCAGCTTCCCGCCCGTCTCCACGCCGGCGCCACCCCCGAAGCCGCTGTCGAAGAGGTCGTGCTGCCACTTGTCGGGAAGTTGTTTCGGCTGCAGGCAAAACCGTGAGGACAGAGAAACTCGTGAGCCTCGCCCCGGGCGCCCTCGACACCCCACCGCCACTCTCCCACGTCGGCCCGCAGTCCAGAGAGCACCCCACGCCCGCCGCCACGAGGCCGGACCGCGACCGGACAAAGCGTCCCGGAAGATCCCGGCCTGGGGCCGGGCCTCGCCGCGCGGCCTCGCCCCCGCCCACCCCTCCGCCGCGGTCCCCGCGGGGTCTCGCGGGGCGCACGCCCGGCTCCGTGCTGCTGGGCAGCCGCCCGCGTCGGCGTCGCGCGTCCCCGGACTTACTCTGCTGTAGGGTGCCGGCCGGTTCCTGCCGCCGCCGCCCGCGGCGCCGCGAGAGATGGCGGGCCGGTTCCTCATAGGCCCGCCGCCTCGATTCACCCGCGCGGCGGCCTGCACCGCGCCGCCGCGGCCGCCCTGGGAGCCGGCCCTGCCGCGACCCCGGCCTCCGCCGCGACCGCCTCGCTGGCTCCGGTTCAGCTTAATGATATCGTCCAAAGACATATCCATTTTGTCGGCCATGGCGGGCGCGGAATCGGGCCTCGGATCGAGCCCGCGCGTCAGCACGCCGCAGCGTCACTTCCTGCGCCTGCCCCCCGTCTTCCGGCGTCGCGGCCCGGCGGCGGCTTTTGATTGGTCTCGGCGCGCGCGGGGCCGGCGGACGCCTGCGCACTGCGCTCGGGGACAGCGGGCGCCGCTTCTGAGGAGCCGGACGCGGCACGGTCGTTTTTATACCTTCCCGCGCGGCGGCAACGGAAGGGCGGGGCGCCTCGTGATTAGGTGGTGAAGGTGCGAGGGCGAGGAGTGGGCGGGGACTCGGGGCCCCGCCCCCGAAGTCCGGAAAAGGCGGGGTGGCTTCGGCGTCTCGTTCCGTCTGTGGACGGGGTGCCTTCTTCGGACCCCGGCGGTCGGGGCTGCTGTGCGGTGTCGGAGTTCGGGTTCGTCTGTTCGAGGGCGTGGTCTTTAGCAAGTTAGTGACTGTGCCTCCTCAGGTTTAAAAGCACAGCACTGGTTGTTAAGGAAAAGCTGGACGTTTTCCACGGACGCATTATTTGGTTTTGTTTTTGTTTCTTTTTTCCTTTTTTGGGGAGGGGAGGGGCTGACCTCGAACTCTGGTCGGTCTGCTTCTGCCTGGGATCGAGTGCTGGGATCCGGGTGCTGGGATTAAAGGCTCGAGTCGGGGATTAAAGGCGTGTGTGACTCCGCCCCACTGCGTGGATGCAGATCTCGAAAGACATCCTTCAACACGGCCAAACACACTCGGAAGCGCGGAACCCTTGAAGCGCCTAGCCCCTGTCGCAGCTCCGCGAGTCAAGTGCTCAAGTGCTGGAGCACTACAGACTAACTTTAGCCCCGGAATTCTCTGCCCTCAGGTCACAGGCTCGGCCGCCATGAAGGTGAAGATTAAGTGCTGGAACGGTGTGGCCACTTGGCTCTGGGTAGCCAATGACGAGAACTGCGGCATCTGCAGGATGGCGTTTAATGGCTGCTGTCCAGACTGTGAGTGTCCCTCTGTGCTCCACCAGCCTTAGAAACCTTGGGTTTCCCAGCGCTAGGGAGACAGAGGCTGGAGAATCTCTGAGATTGAGTTCGGCCTGGTCTACAGTGCAGGTTCCAGGACAGAAAAACCTTGTCTTGAAAAACTAAGAAAAAAAAAACTGTAAGGTTTAGTTTCCATCTACTGAAGGAAAGCTGACAGAAAATATTTCTTGAAGCCCACTTTTCTATAAAGAGCCTATCTAGCACGGTGGCAAATACTTGTGGTATCAGAATTTGGGAGCAAAACAAGTGCATCTCCCAGTTGGAGGTTACACAGTGAGACTCTGCAAAAACAGAGAGACAGACAAACAAAGCCAACACTTGTTTTTGTCAGGGCATGGTGGCACAGACCACAGACCCGTGACAACAGCGCTTGGGTGACTGAGGCAAATGATCTTCAATTTGAAGCCTGCCTGGGCTACATGGTGGTAATCTGACATTCTCTTAACTCCTCAAACTTGAATTTTCAGTTTGAATTTTCTCAAAATGCCCCTAACTTGTTACAGCAAATTGAAGTTCAGACAGTGGTTGCCATAATGTCACACTTGCTGGATTTTTGTGCTAAAGTATTGTAAATTATAAGTTAGATGCTTAAACTATGAGCACACTTGAGCCTTGTCTTACAAGCTGTTCTAGCAACTTATAATCATCTTGATGTTATCAGAGCGTTAGATCTGCAAAATTTACAGAGATCCTCCTGCCTCTGTCTCCTGAGTGCTGGATTAAAGGCGCCCCTACCCTGCTCTCCCAGCCTGGCTTATCAGCCAATAGTTAATCGGCTTGATGTATTCAATAAGTTGTGAGTTGTCGTTGTGTCCCCCCCTTCAGACAGGGTTTCTCTGTGTAACCCTGACTGTCCTGAAACTCTCTCTGTAGACCAGGCTGGCCTCAAACTTACAGAGATCCTCCTGCCTCTGTCTCCTGAGTGCTGGGATTAAAGGTGTGTGCCACTGTGCTCACCCAGCCTGGTTTATGAAAGAGTTGATGTCTATAGACCAGGCTGGCCTTAAATCTGTCCCCACACGTCTTATTCCTGAGGTCTGAGCCATTCTCAACATCTCAGTATTCCTGGTTTTTCAGCTCTTTAATCTAAACAGCGTCTTCATATTTTCCTTTTTGTTTTCAAGGCGTTTGAGTTTCATGATCTCAATGTATTTTGCTGAATGCAAAAGGTCTGTTTTGTGTTGTTCCTGTGTCCCCAGTATGTTATATAAAGTAGAAATGTTTGATTGCGTTGAGTGAAAGCAGTTTCTATTTATTTATTTAGAGATAGAACCTCAATGTGTAACCCTGACAAGCCTAAAAAACTTACAGTGTAGACCAGTCTGGTTTCAAGGTTAGAGAGGTCTGCCTGCCTGTCTGTCTCCTGTGTACTGGATTAAAGGTGGGACCCACCATTTTCACCCAGTCTGGCTCATCAGCCAAGAGTTGTGAGTTGCCCCTCCCATTCCCCTCCTCCCACAGGGTTTCTCTGTGTAGCCCTGGCTGTCCTGAAACTCTCTCTGTAGACCAGGTTGGCCTCAAACTCACAGAGATCCTCCTGCCTCTGTCTCCTGAGTGTTGGGATTAAAGGAGTGTGCCACCACTGCCCAGCGAGCTGTGTGTCCTAGGAAGTCATTGGTTTTTGTGGTTTAAGTTTTTTATCTATAGCATTTATGATTAGCAGCTAAGCACACAGTTCTAATTTTTATTTTAAGTAGAAAAATGTAAATTTTTGTTGTTTCGTATTTTGAGACAGGGTTTTGTTAGGTTGCCTAGGCTGTCCTGGAACTATCTCTCCAGACCAGGCTGAACTCAAACTCACAGAGATCTGTATGCCTTTGCTTCTGAGGGCTGGGATAATAGGCATGCCTGCTACAAATGCAGATTCACTAAGAAAAATGAGAAGGAACTTCCAAAAGTGTGAAGGGGAGGAATACTCTTTTAATCAGTCAATCAGTTTCTTATTTAATGGGACTGGGGATTGGACACAGGCCCTTCCATGCTCTGCAGGCTCTCCCACTGAGCTGTATTCCTAGGGTTGGCTTGAATGCACTCTGTCTTGAACTTTGAGTTCTCCTTCCTCGACTTCTAGAGCAGCTAGGGCGCAGGCTCGTCCACTGGTCTTGTCTTGCAATCACGTGAAGACTGGGTACGGTGGCATGGGGCGTTGATCCCAGCACCGAGGAGGAGGCAGAACAGATCCGTGATTCCAGGCATTCCTGGTCTGTGTAGTGAGTTCTGTGCCTGCTAGGCCTACATAGTGAGACGCGTACAGCCTCAAAAAAACAAAAACCCAACCTCGTCAACAAAATCACCCTTAAGGATGCTTCTATATTGGGGATCAGGCATAGGACCTTCACTAATCTGCTGAGCTCAGAAACTTCTCCCCTCTAAAGTATATAGATATGAGAAATGTTTCCTTTGTTTTGCTGACTGCTGTCAGGTCTTCTGTCCCAGCTCTCTATGCTACAAGTGGCAATTGTTATTAAATAGACCCGCATTACCTGAAGCTGGTGTTTCTTACCAAGCATGAAGGAATCTTTTTGTCTGTCTGTCTTTCATGTATACAGTGTTCTGCCTGCATGTATTCCTGCAGGCCAGAAGAGGGCACCAGATCTTATTACAAATGGTTGTGAGCCACCATGTGGTTGCTGGGAATTGAACTGAGGTCCTCTGGAAGAGCAGCCAGTGCTCTTAACCTCTGAGCCATCTCTCCAGCCCCCCAGGAATCTTTATTTAACAGAGCCACACAGAGTGTGGGAGTCAGAGGACAAGTGCTCGTGTGCGTATCTGTCACATCAGACAGCTTTGTGAACTCTCTGGAACCTGCTTATCAGCGCCACCTTCAGGCACAGAACTACCTGTTCTTACCTATGCATAAGTGACCCACATGTGGGCTGCGGGGCACAACCTGGATGACCCTAGCTGGGTCTGTGACCAAAGGGATGGCCAGAAAGCATCTTAGGTGGCTAGGCACTTAGAGTCATCCATGTGAAGTAGACCCAGGCTTTCTTAAAACAGGGCTGTTAGCCACACAGAGGGAGACTCAGTCTGGCTCACAGATTGTTTAAATGGGAGGGAGTTGACTTCACTGTGCCGAGTGTTTGACAGGTCCAGTCTGTCTTCTGGAGAGATTCCATAAGCACCAGCTTTCTCACAGATTAAACTCCTGTGAAAATTAAGTTACCAAGGCTGTAATAAATCTGTTTCAGGTCCCAGGGGGCTTTAAGGTAAAGCAGTCTTGTCAAGAAGTGTTTTAATTAAAAAAATAATAATTTCGTCAAGGCACTAACCAGGCCTTGCATGAATCACCGTCAGTGCGCCAGCACGCTCATCAAGTGCTGCGGCTCGCCCTGTAGGGACAGTACCCTCCTCCGCATGACCACCCACAGATGAGCCAGCTCCGTGATCTTGTTTGTGAGCCAATTGGGTCCGAGTCTAATTGGAAAAGGGTGATTTCAAGCAGAGCTCTGCTGAAGTTAGGAGCGGGGTGGTACACACACCTTTAATCCCAGCACTCTGGAGGCAGAGGCAGGTGGTCAGAATGAGTTCTAGGACAGCCAGGGCTACACAGAGAAACCCTGTCTTGAAAAACAAAACAAAGAAAGGAGAGAGAAAGGCTCAGCTGTGCTGAGCACAAGTGTGACAAGACATAGGACTGGTTCCCCAGGATGGATTGGGTGCAGTGACCCCGGCTGATAGTGTTCCTGTGCTCTGCCTTCTTCAGTAGGGTTTTCTAGTCTGAGGAAGCCAGGGATACTTGTTTTTGAACGGGGTCTCACGTCTCTTGTATCCTAGCCGAGTATGGCCTTGAATTCTTCATCTTGCTTCCAGCTCCCAGGTGCTGGGATTGTCTGGTTGTGCAAACCTGGGGGTAGAATGCGGGCTTTGTGCATTCTAGGCGACCGTTCTACCAGCTGAGCTGCGTTCTCAGTCTCCCCTTTTGTTTTTACATTGGTGTATGTATGTCTGCATGTATGTCTGTGTGAAGGTGTCCTCAGGTCCTCTGGAGCTGGAGTTACAGACAGTTGTGTGCATGTGGGTGCTGGGAATTGGACTCAGGTCCTCTGCAAGAGCAGCCAGTGCCATCTCTCCAGCCCCTGTTTTTAAATTTTACTTTAAGGAAAAAAAAAAAAAGATTAATCTGTTTTCATTTATGTGTATGGGTGTTTTATGTCCATCTGTGTTTACCACATGCATGCAGTGTCTGTGGAGACCAGAAGAGGGCGTTGGCTCCCCTGGACCTGGAGCCGCAGGTGGTTGTGAGCTGCCATGTGGAAGCTGGAAACTGGACCTGGGTCCTGGGCAAGATCAGCAAGTGCCGTAACTGCTGAGCCAGCTCTATAGCCCTAATTAGTTTTAATCATGAAACTGACTCTGTCTGGCTCTGATTGGGCTTTCTCCATGGAGGAAGACTTCCAGGCTTGCAGAGTGAGAATCTGCAGCCTGTGCCCCTGGCTTTGGCTAGAGGTGGGAGAGCTGAGGTTTCAGGTGAGAGAGAGGATGGCACCTGCTGATATCAAGTCCCCTCAGCAGCTGTCCCATGAACACCAGGGTGGTACAGTTGATCTCGAGGGTCCAGGGAAAGAACCTCCCTGAGTTCCAGCGTGCCTTTAATGAAGACAGAGTTCCCTACGCAGGTTGTGACTCCTTGGCACCATGGCCATTTTAATGTTACCTTCTGGGTATTCCAGATCAGTTTTCCACAGAAGGGTGTGAGGGAGTCACTGTAGGTCTTTCAAGCCGTGGGCCATATCTGGGGACGGTTTGGGTCACATTCCTGCGTGGTCTCCCCTGAGAGGCTCTGCCTGTGGGCTGGAGCCATTTCCAATGCCCTGGAGGGGCCTGCTTGGCTTCACATGCTCTCCTGTGTCCTTACAGGTAAGGTGCCTGGGGACGACTGCCCTCTGGTGTGGGGACAGTGTTCGCACTGCTTCCACATGCACTGCATCCTCAAGTGGCTGAACGCGCAGCAGGTGCAGCAGCACTGCCCCATGTGTCGCCAAGAGTGGAAGTTCAAGGAGTGAGGCCTGTGTTCCCTCTGCCAGCGCTGGGCCCTGGTTCTGCACTGGGGACAAGGATGCCTTCCTTTTGGCTGAAACAAGGAGGTCTTTTTGTTTGTTCGTTTTTTCATTGCATCATTGACACTTTTATTCAATAAGTAAACTCATTAAAGTCCCGAGCCTTGCTGGAGGCCTCTGGCTGCTGCTTTCTTGACATTGATAAAGCTGCGGCGTGTTTTGTTATGAAAACCCTTATGAATAAACATCTTGATGAAATAACTGCCGAGGGCTTCTTGATAATCTGAGTCACAGCTCAGAAACAGAAAAGTAGAAGAGACTAAGGCAGGCAGGGCCAAGCTGGGCAGAGACCTTAAGGTGTGTTGTGCTGGGGGACTGGCAGGAGCACATAGCCCATCTGCTGCCCTAACCTGGAAGAAGCCCCAGCCCTAGCTGGGCAAAGCTGGCTCTTCTGGCCAAGCAGGCACTGGTCATGCCCAGGTGATCTTCGGGGACTACTGTGTCTTCCTCAGACTGAAGACCAGATCTAGGGTAGGAGGATGTGGTCCTCTGGTGCCCTCGGGAGAAACAGCCCTTTGCAAACTTCTTTATTCCCTACAGCTGGGGGTTTTCAGCCTCTTAGGGGACAGTAGACCAGCCCTACGGTGTCTGGAAGCTCCTGGGTGGAAATTAATTTAGGGTGGTATCTGGGAGTCACCTTGTCCTTGTGAGGGCCAGCCAGGATGAGCTAAGTCTGGGCAGGTCACCCAAAGGAAGTTCTTTATTTCTTCCAACCATTATCACCTGGGACTCTGGCCATGGATGAATTTCAATGGAGGCTGGAGTCTCAGTTGTTCACCCTGAGAAGGTGCCTGGCTGCAGGAGGAACCAACCACAAGCTGGGATCACCTGACCCTCCACCCAAGAACAGACCATTCCAAGGAAATTCCTGGCATTCCAAGCACTGTAGATAGAAACACCTGCTAGTGCACAGTCAACCAGGACACCCCTAGAACGGAATGCCAGCCAATCAGGGGTCTTAAAACCTCAGAAACCCCTCACCCCCACCTTTACTACTATAAAATCCTATTCTAATTGAGCTCGGGGCTCTCCCGTTATTCCAATACGTTGGACGTGCGGAGAGACCGAGTGTGCAAACTTGACTAAAATAAAGGCTCTTTGCTTTTACATACGGGACTGTTGGTTTCCTTGTCTGCTGTGGGGATTGTGGATTTGGGCATAACAGTCCTCAGAGACTCAGTGATCATGGACATTGAACACATTTGCATACCACCTGTGCCCTACAGCCTGGAGAGCAGGCCAAGCAAGCAGGGGCAGGACTCCCCACCATCTGGATCATCTACAAGGGTGTTGGCAATGAGGCTTGCTGTCTACAGTGCCCTTGAGGTACCTCCTACTTGAAACATCTGTGCTTCTGAGAGACTATAGCTCCATACTGCTCGGTTATCTCTTGCATGCTGAGCCTGGCCCTGGCATCAGCTGGCACGAATAGAGATTGGTGTAACTCAGCCCAAGTATACCCAAGAGCTGCAGAGGGGCGTCGAGATCTGTGGATTTGGAGCTCCTTGGGCTGATAGGTCTGGTCCATCCTAGCTGGTTTTTCCATCCCCAGCCTGCTCACCCTCCTGGGTGCCCTCTGTGCTTTTCCTAGGAACTTTCTGTGGGGAAATCCACCATTATAGGTCACCCTGCTGAAGCATCTTCCTGTACAACGGAGTATTCATGAGGTCTTTCTTCCCAGGCTCACCACAGGGCTGACTACAAGGCTTCACTCTGGGTTCCTTAGCACTTAGGTCTTTCTGATCTGTTATCTCAGGACCAGCTCCACTCATCTCACACCCCAGTCCCTCTGGAGATCAGAAGACCCTAACTCACCCCAGGCATATAACCCTCCCCGCAGATAGAGTCCCTGGTTCTGGTCAGGACGCCCTGATACAATCCCATCACGACAGCTTGTGCTCTCCCTGAACCCCTTTCCCAGGCAGGAACAGCAGGTCCTTAGGAAGCTTATGCCATCGACCTAGGTAGCCTTTCTCCGTGCCCCCTCCTCCTTCTTTTTCTTCTTCTTCTCCTCCTCCTCCTCCTCTTCTTTTTTAAGTTTTTTAAGACAGGGTTTCTCTGTGTAACAGCCCTGGCTGTCCTTGAACTAGCTCTTGTACACCAGGCTGGCCTCAGACTCACAAAGACCTGCCTGCCTCTGCCTCCCAAGTGCTGGGAAAAACCCTGTCTTGAAAAACGAGAGAGAGAGAGAGAGAGAGAGAGAGAGAGAGAGAGAGAGAGAGAGAGAGAGAGAGAGAGCCATGCGATGGTGCCTCACATCTTTAATCCCAGCACTCAGGAGACAGGCAGAGGGATTTCTGTGAGTTCAAGGTTGGATCTCACATCTTTAATCCCAGCACTAGGCGGGTGGGAAGTGTTCTGGCTGGGCAGAGAGAGGACTACAAGGCAGGAGGAGACAGGAGCTCAGATGCAGTCCAAGGACTTGTAGTGTACGATGGCCCCTTTGGTCTGAGGGAGAGCGAAGAACTAGTGGCTGGCTGTGGGGCTTCTCTGACTCAATAGCTGACTCCAGGTTTTTATTATTAAGACCAATTAGAACTCACACTACAAGGTGGTCCCTGTGCTGCTAGTTTTAAGTTAACTTGACATAAGCTAGAGCCATCTGAGAGAAGGGAACTTCAATGGAGAAAATCCCTCCATAAGATCAGGCTGTAGGCCATTTTTTATTATATATAATTTCTATTTTTTGTGTGTGACTGTTTTACCTGCAAGCATGCCTGTGCACCAGATGTATTCCCCCAATATCTGCAGAGTCCAGAAAACATGTGATCCCCTAGAACTGGAGTTACAGTTGTGAACTGCCATGTTGGTGCTGGGAATTGAACCTGCGTCCTCTGGAAGAGCAGCCAGTGCTTTAAGCCACTAAGCCATCTCTCCAGCCTGGGGATTTTCTTTTCAAGACAGGGTTTCTGTGTAACAGCCCTGGCTGTCCTGGAGCTTGTTTTAATGACCCCCCTGCCTGGCCTCCTGCATGCTGGGGTTAAAGGCGGGTGCCGCTGCACCCAGTGGAAATTTCTTAGTGACTGATCTGGGAGGGTCTAGGCCATTGTGGGGCGGTGGTCCTGGGTTCTATGAGAAAGCAGGCTGAGGAAACCAGGATGCAAGCCAGGAAGCAGTACTCTCCCATGGCCTCCAGGTTCCCCGTCTGAGTTCTTGCCTTTGCTTTTCCAGTAGACTGTGGCATGGAATATGTTAACCACATAAAAACCCTTTCCTCCTGACGTTGCTTTTCGGTTGTGATGTTTCTTCACAGCGATAGTAACCCTAAGACAGTCTCTCACCCTGCCTGGGGGCGTTGATACTTCTGGCCAGTAAGCCTCAGAGGGCAGTTCAACTTCAGCAAGGAGAGATTGGCTCTCTGCCATCAGTGACGTGAGTGTTCAGGCCCAGCAAGGTGTAGGAGATCCCACTGATCCCGTGCTCCACTGCCACTCCTCCCTGCTCCTCCTCCCGGCCTCTGTTCCCGCCTCCCCCGCCCTACACCCCATTGCAGATATAAAGCCCCGTCCGGTTCACAGACTTCAGCCACATTTCCCCTGCTCCTGCGCACAGCACAGATCCATGGCCCAGTGTGGGACGTCGGTGGCCGCCGCCACCCTGGCGCTGCTCTTGCTGCTCCTGCCGCCAAACCTTGCGTGGTACAAGCCTGCGGCGGGACCCCAGCACTACTCGGTGGGCCGCGCCGCGGGGCTGCTGTCCAACTTCCACAAGTTCCCGTCCCAGCGACGCTCCGAGTCCCCAGCACTCCCTGCCGGAATTGGACCCCTACGCTTGGAGATGCGCTCTAGCCTAAGGAGCCTTGTGAGTGCAAGGGGGTGGTGGGTGGCGGGAGCCGGTGGGGCACGAGCGGGACCTCAGCCTCCACCGCCCACCCAGGCCCTGTGTGTCAAAGAGGTGACCCCGAACCTGCAGAGCTGCCGGCGGCAATTCAACAGCCCAGGGACTTTGCAGTGTAAAGCGGACGTCTTCTTATCGCTGCAGGAGGCTGAATGCCAACAGCCTGAGCCCTGAACCCCCCATGTCCAGCCTTGCTTGAAGCAGCGCAGGCCGTCATGTGGGTTGGCGCCCGTGACCCCCAACTCCTACCATGCTCCACAGCAAATGGCTAAATTAATAAAGAAGCAAAGCGTGTCTGCTGAGGGTTGCTGGAGGAGGTGACTAGTGCTCCTGGGAGTGGGTGATGACGGAGCAGGCCCTCGGCCCTGCTAGGCTTCCCTATAGCATCCCCTTCCCTGGCCAGGCTGGGTCTTTCCCTCTTCCACAGAGCAAGAACCGGTATAGAGGCTCCCCAACCCCACAGTCTGCACAGGTGACACCCCTACGTAAGTAGTAGGCACTGGGCATAGAGAGTTCCTAGTAGGGCATCTGAAACAGTCCCACCCATGCTGCCCCTCGTCAGAGAATTGCCCTTAGCAGTCCAGGTTCCTAGGTTCTTTCCGGAAGTCCTGCTTTGTGTCTTGCCTCACCCTAGGCGACCCTGATGCTTCTGGGATTCCTACTGCCCCCACCCCTAACCTTGTCTGACTCCCACCTTTTAAAGTCCCTCCCCAAAGACCTTGAAGCACTAAGTACTTAGCTACTGTATGTTCAACAAATCAGGACCAGAAGTGAGGTGCACTGATCCAGAGTAAGGCTCTAACGGCACGGGAGCCCTTAGACCCACCCCTCACATATTCTGGGCGCTGGCCACAAAGCCAAGTGGGCAGCTGGCTTGAGTCCTGCCTTCCCTCCCGCCCAAGGCAAACACCCCCAGGTGCCAGCTCAGTAGTTGAGCGAGCTCTGGTCTGGGAGCCCCTGAGCCTGCTGTTGAGGGTGTCTTCCTCTCCGTGGTGCCTCGCCCAGAGGCCATGGGTGGCACAGAGCATGCCTGCCAGTGCAGTGTTCCTCTGGAGACCAGCACACTCGGTGGCTTCCTTGACCTGAGACTGTGCAGGGTATTCCACAGCCCAGGGTTCTAGCGTGGGCACCACCCCCGTTCCTAGCAGGCAGGGCTGAGCACTGTACCTCTGAGCACTGTACGGGCTGGAGGTAGGTATGCCCCTCCTCCAGATCCTGACCCCAGGTCTCATATGCTCACAAAGGCTCTCCTGCTTCCAAGGGAAGAGAGAGGGCAGATCTACCTGCTTCAGTAGGTGCAGAGACCAGGCGTGGGATAAGAGGACCAGCAGCATCCTTGTTTGGGAGAAGCCAGGACTTCAGCACTGAGTCAGCCTCCCCTACAGTCAACCACCAAGAGGCAGCTGTAGGAGCCTCAGCAACTGCTGGGCTCCAAGCAGACCTGGTAGTGTGCCAAGATCCTGGGTCTACAGAAGAGCCAGGGCAGGTACACAGGCTGCCCAGCTTCCTGGCCTGGCCCGTTCTCCCTTCTCTAAAAGAATCCCTGCTGTGGACGGGTTTCCTGCGTCTTCCTGGGGCCAGCGCTGGGCGCTCCCGCTAGGCTTTATTCAGGGAGCCAAAGAAATTTACATCGGCCACTGAGGTACAAAATGAGGACCATGGAGTCTGTGCAGAGAACAGTCAAGCTGGCCCAGCCGTCAGGGAAGTACATCTTCTGGGAATCAGGGATGGGGTGCTAGAACGTGCCCCAAAGTAGAGGGTGACCACTTGCAGGGTGACCCGGGACAAGAGGTCCCCAAAGTCATCCCCCTCTGTACCTCTCATCAAAGCTGGGCTGGCAGATTGCAGCTTCCAGTCAGGCAGGAGGGGCGTCCCCAGCCAAGACTGGGGCAGTGGCAGTCGGAACTGTGGACGCTAAGGACACACAGCAACACTCCTCCAGTCTCCTGTCCGTTGGGCTGCTTCACTGTGCTGGCCACCCTCTCTGGGCAGCTCAGTGCAAAGGACTGAGCCTGTGGCAAGGTGGGCGGTGGGTGCCTCACAGGCGGTAGAACAGCACCCTCCAGCAAGGCCAGCTTCCTTTGGAATTATGTGAGCTGACACCAGGACACAGAAGCAGAGCAGGGTAGGGAGAGAAGAGATGGGCACAGAGCAAGGGCGTGAGTGACATCCTCCAGGTCAGAAGTCAGTCAGTCTCCCCTGCAGGCTGTGCCTCCTGCTGCCTCCTGGCCTCCAGAAAGGCCAATTCCTTGGCTTCCTTCTTCTGATTCCGTGCTTCGTACTCCAACCTGCAGCCAGACAGGCATCATCAACCTCCAATGCCAGCGCCCAGGGCCGCCCCACTGGAGAGGGCGGGGCCACACCTGTTCTTGATGATCCTCTGCACAATCAGGTCTGTGGTGAGGTCGCTGCCACTGTCGATCTGACGGAAGATTCCTCTTCTCTTGGGCTCCTGAAGGCCTCAGTGCAAAGAGAGGAGGGTGGTGAGAATCCTCCTGACCACAAAGACACCCCCAGGTGCCCCTCTACACACAAGAGACCAAAACCAGAAAGGACGGTTGTTCCCACTTCCCAGAGGCAACTCAGACCAGGCCAACCCACCTGGTAGGGGTCAGAGCCATCCCTGTCCGGCACAATTTCTGTCTTCCCATGGCATACTAGGTCCACCTACAAGGGGAAGGAAGGGTCAGGAGGCCTCCTCAGAGAAGCTCTGCCACCACTGACAACCACCCAGGGTTAGCCCAGACCTAGGAAAGCTGGCCCTGGCTGACCCAGGAGGTCAGCTAGAGAGAAGCCTCACCTTGAAGTGACTCAGGAGCTCCGCTGTGACCGAGTACGGTGCCCCAATCACCACTTCTGAAACATACTGCAGAGACACAGCCGGGAAAGCAACACACTCAGTTCTCGTGTCTGGCAAGCCAGGGCTACAGGGTGGCAGAGAAGGCCCAGGGAGCCAGCTGGGACAGGGCAACATAGCAGGGCCAGCGGGCGAAGGGAATCCTCAGACTCCTCAGGAGGGGACAGAACTGCACCCATGGGGCCCAGCCACCCGCCACCCGCCTCACTACGGCTCAGGGAAGTACTGCTTCCAGCCCACTCACCCGGCAGGCCAGCACGCTCAGAGTCCGCTCATGCAGGTTCATGATGGGGTAGTTCTTGCCCTTGTATCGGTTTACTTCCTAGGGCCAGGAGGTTGGCTCAGCTAAGGAATGGTGCCCTCCCACCCAGCTGGCCTTCCTGGGCAGAAGCTGGAAGAGGCACCCCTCTCACGGGAACCCTAGGCAGGGCTGTCTGGGACTCCAAAAGAGATCCATGCCTGCCTTGACTAGACACCTGGAGCCTCACTCCTTTAGAGGCCACCTGTGCCTACCACTGACCCCAGCGAAGACCTGTGAGGGACCCCATGACCCATCAGCGCATGGGGTACTGAGAAGTGAACAGGCAGAAAGGCGGAGACCTGGTCAAAGTGCAGGCCGGCGATGATGTAGGGCCTCTTGGCCAGCTTGTGCACCTCCTCCAGGAAGTCCACGTGCCCGATGTCTACATCCAGATTAAGAAGCGGTAACGAGCTGTACATGGTGTTTTCCTGCATACCCAGCACTTGCGTGGTGGAGGCAGGAGCATTGCAAGCTCTAGGTCAGCCTGGACTACACAGGAAAATTCTGTCTCCAAACAGCGAGACCTGGGGCTATAGCTCAGCAGTGGTCACGTGTCTCAGATACAGAGCCCTGAGTTCCATCCCCAACCCAAGGGGTGAGGGGCGGCAGTAAGGTGCTAGCAAGGCAGGGCTCTCTCCTGTCCTCAACAGCGTAGACCCAAGGGACTTTTTGCCATTTTCCCTGATGAGGGCTGTACCCGCTACAACCCAGCTCAACCCTGGGGCCTTGAGTCTACGGGTTTCACTCTGTGGCATGACTGTGGGGCACAGAGGCCCTGAGAGGATACGGAACAGGTCAAAGGCACCGGCCACGTAGATGACTGTCTCCCCAGGCTGGGGCTCCTTCCCAGAAGCAAACTGGATGATCTTCTGGGATGTCTGCAGAAACTGGGACACCCCTGTCCAGGGACTCTGCCCCCCAGGGCACTATTAGCCAAGAGAAGGAACTAGTTAGTGCCAGAGGCCTCTATGTGTGCCCCTCTCCCGGCACCCCCACCCTCAGGGCCACTCTTCGGAGCCCAGGGCTTCCTGTGCCCATCATAGGAGTGGGTGTTGGGCGCATGTGCAGAGAGCATTAGAGGCTGGACTCCCCCCAACCCCAGCCTGCGAATGACCCAGCAGCACAGCCGGGGGCTATGTCCAGGCAGGCACTTGGGGCAGGGGCAAGGACACACCATGGTAAGGTCAAGCAGGACCACTGAAGCTAGCAGGACTGTGGCTCCACCCGGTGGCCACAGAAGATACTGCAGTCAACACCAGCTCTGCCTGGCAACACACCACCAGGAGCAGGCGCAGAGCCCAGTGGCCAGCAGTCACAGCCCTCTGAGGGACCCGGCACCCTGAGGCCACCATCTGGTCACCTGGGAGGAGACTTCTGAGGAAAGTGTGTCCCCGGCAGGTGTCGGGTGAGGGGGCTACAAAGGGAGAGAGGGCCAGGCCATTTGGTTAGATGCCACCTGTAGGTGGGCAGTTCTTGCTCCTCCTCCAAGAAGTGGCTGCTGGGACTGGCCACCTCTTGCCTGTCCTCCCTCCCAGAATCCAGTAGCTGGCCAAGCCTGGTGGTCAGTACCTGGCCAGCACTGGGAAGGAGAGGGAGGAGGGCAGACGGTGAAGCCCTGGGTGAACCTTTCCCCGTGGGAAGCCTACAGTGGGAGGCTGGGGAGCGCTGGTGGTGTCTCTATTTCCAGAGCAGCTTCGCAGCCGGCTGGACTCACCTTGCCAAAGCTGTCAGCATATTCCCGGTACTCGGAGGACATCTCCTGCACACAAGGGCAAGAGGCTAAGGGACCTCGCCCTCCATAGCCCCAGAGCCCAAGGACGGGATGGTCAGGGAGAGCACAGGCTGGACCCGAGGGTGGCTAGGAGGTGCCCCGCCCTCCCTGTTTGTCCCAGACCCCATTCCTCCAGACTCACCTGACTGCTGTGGTGGGCCTTGGTCACCAGCAGCATGCGGCCCACGAGGTCTGTGGTGGACACACCCTGCGTGCGTTTGCACTCTCTGGGGCAGAGGTAAGGTGGAGGTTTTCATCCCAGACACTGCTGAGGCTCTGCTATAGGCGGAACCCACCTGAGGGACATGACCCTAACCCAGTCCCCCAACATAAAACCAGACTGGGGCAGAGCAACAGGCTCGATCAGTGACAGAAGCAGAGGGTTCATTCAACTATTCAACTGTACAATGTGGCACCCGGGAGTAAGCAGGCCACATTTGGGACACACAGCTCTGGTTCCCATTTTGACATCGTACCCTCTGGCCTCTCTTAGACCCAGGGCCCTATTCCCTGCTCTATTCCAGGCTGCTTTGTCTTCTGTAGAAACCACTGGCCACAGCTGGCTCTTTAAATTATAGTTAATTAAAATAAAAGGCCAGTTCTCCAGGGGCACCTGTGACACTACTGAGTTCATGGATGCCCTACCCACAGTGCTGATCAAGAATGCTGCCCTAGGGGGGCTGGAGAGATGGCTCAGTGGTTAAGAGCATTGCCTGCTCTTCCAAAGGTTCTAAGTTCAATTCCCAGCAACCACATGGCGGCTCACAACCATCTGTAATGAGGTCTGGTGCCCTCTTCTGGCCTGCAGACATACAGACAGAATATTGTATACATAATAAATATTTTATAAAAAAGAATGCTGCCCTAGGACTGGCCACACAAAGGTTACCCACAAGCAATTCCTTCCTACATCCAGTCCTGACTGTGGGCCCAAATGCCTTGCCAGCTGCCTCAGAGCAGCAATGAGAGCTAGGAAGGGATGCACTTGAGCACCACTGGACCTACCTGTACCTCCCAGCCTGCTTCACCTCCTCATAGGTGTCTCGGCCATCTACCGTCAACGTGATGTCATCTAGGGGTAATACGCACACACAAAAGGATTCTGTTGTTGTTTGTGACAGAGAGGATCTTGCTGTGTCGTCCAGGCTGACCTGGAACTTTTTATTTCTTGAGACAAGGTCTCTGTGCAGCCCTGGCTGTTCTGGAACGTGCTGTGTAGACCCGGCAACTCAGAGGTCCGCCTACTTCCGCCTCCAGAGTGCTGGAGTTAATGGCTTATGCCACCATCGCCGGGTGACCTGGAGCGTTTAATGCCCCTGCTTCTGTCTCCCCATCACTAGGATCATGTGCATGCACCATCACACTGGGCTCAGAGCTCGGGGCACCCTTGGGACCAGAGTGACCCTTTCATTTGTGCCAGTGCTCCCGGGGAATGAATGGGCCCAGAGCTTTCTGTCTGCATGGGTTGAGGAGCCCTCTACCCCTGAGACCCTGTCAGCTGTCAACTATCTGACAGAGTCCAGCCCCCATCTCCAGGCCCCGCCCACTCACTGCCGTGAACACAGAAGTCACAGTTGAACTTGTCCAGTGTCTCCAGGGTGGTGACATAGGGAGCGGCGGGCACCACTTCATCCACCCACTTGATGGCCTGTACCATCTTGTACCTCTCCTCCTGGGTAAACACGGGGGGGCCCTTATGCTTGGCAATCTCCTCTAGGGACAGAGAAAAGAAAAAGGACAAAAGGAGACAAATGATGGCCGTCTCCAGGGCCAGTCCTTAGGAGCCTCTACCGCAAAGCAAAGTGGGAAGTAACCACACGAGTCTCCCAGCCGCAGCCCACAAGGCAGGACCCCATGTAGCCAGCATGTGTGCCCAGGTTAGTAAGGATACCCTTTAACCAAGTCTGTTCTCAGGAATCAGGGTAGGGTGGACAATACGGCTGGAGATGCCCCGTCCAGTGTAGCCACAGTTCTCTACTGCTGGGACCAGACTGGATTACTTACTAAACTCTTAGCCACTGCTGTGCTCTGGGGAAGGATGCAGGATTTGTTCCCCCGCCCCCGCCCCTGCAAGCTCCGGTGGTTGGAGTAGGTCCCAGGCACGGCAGCCCACACCTTACCATCGGTATGCACACCCACGATGAGGTAGTCCCCCATGGCCCGTGCCTGGCGCAGCTGATTCGAGTGACCATAATGTACCATGTCATAGCTGTGAGGGCAGACAGGGCGGGTGGTCAGGTCTTATACTGATCTCGGCTGGACACTGGGGGTCTTGTGCAGGACCGCAGCTTTGCTCCTTTGGAAGCCCCCTGGGAGGGCAACTAAGCCAAACCCCTGGATTTGGGGCTTACAGAGCCAAAGTCGGTTCTCAGTTGTCCACACCCTAGATACCGGACTTAGGGAACGGTCTCAGTCAGTGACAGGTCAGTTCAGGTAAGATCCAGAGAGCTGGTGGGTGACACCCACAGCTCACAAAATAGAACTTGTCCAGGACTTAAACGTGGGACCTTCTGCACCCTAAGCAAGACTCAGCCCCAGATCAACAAGCCACACTCAAGTTTTGAAATAAGTCCTGAGTTAGGAGCAGACTCCATTCTACCCTCAGACAGGCCAGCCCCATCCACGTGGCCTGACTTAACTCTGAAAGAAGTTAAGAACCATCACCTGGTTCTGGAGTCTTTATCCTCAAATCTAGGTCTTCTGGCTGTGACTACACTGTCAAGGTCAAAGCTACCCAGAACCCAGCAACATGCTGGGCACTGAGGGTACCAGTGTGCACTGGGGCCACCTGTATTCTTCTCCATGGGCCAGTGCTGGGTCACAATTTCTACTCAGCTTCCTCCAGAACCCCAGCGGGGTGTCATCGGGTGACCCGAGCAGCCCAGGATAGCCGCTACAGTTCACAGAATGGAGGCAGGAAAACAAGACAACCCTAGCAGGCTCAGGCACCACGGTAAACTCTGGGCCAGCCTTTGTGCCCACTAGACAGGTAGGGCAAAGTTGGAGGTCAGAGTCTGCGTCTGGGATTAGGGCACAGTGTTGTGGCTGAGCCAAGGTCATAGTCCACTGACACGAAGTCAAAGCCACTGCTGGTGACTCGGGTGCAGAAGGGCGGGAGGGGCAGAAGTTGTAGCTCACTTGCCTAGCTTGTACCAGGCTATGGATGCATCCTCAGGACCACCAAACCAAAGCAAACGAGAAATGCACCAAGTACAGTCTACTCCCCGACCGAATCCCCTGGGGAGCCCTAGTGACCATTCTGCATCCCTTCTCATCCACCCGGGTTAGGCACGACGGAGGGCTGGGGGCAGTCAGTTACAGAAAGGCCAACATCTCTTCTGCTTGTTGACAGTTCCACGACTTTTCTTAGAGCGAGGCAGCGTCACAGGCTGACTCGCCTGAGAGCCCATGGCCTTCCAACCCCGGGAACCTGGGTCAGAACCACTGCGGTCGGACGGCCGCATTTCCGGTCTCCGGGGAGAGCGCTGCCCGGTGCACCGGCACGCAACACTTCCGAGTGGCCGGGGGCCGGAGTGCCTCGTGCAGCCTCGGAAGACTCGGGATCCGCCAACGGCCGGTGCGTGACCCCGCGGCGGCCTCCCACCCCTCGCCGCCGCCGCACTCACCAGCCGTCGCACCACACCCGCACGGCGCGCTGGCCCGCCGGGACCCTCCGCCCGGCAGCGCCGACCTCCCCGTGCCCGTTCCGGATCATGGCACCGCAAGCCCCCGTACGACCGGGGCGCTCCCGCGGCTCGCAGGACTCTGGCCCCGCCCCCAACGCTTGCGCGTGCTCACGCGGGTCTCACCCGCCTGCCGCGGCCAATTGCGAGCGCGACTCCCGGCCCCGCCCCCGGCCGGGCCCCTCCCCCAATGGCCAACATTGGCGGCCAATGGTGTGCGTCGCAGGTCCTAGTCCAAGCAGGGTCAACTCCCAGGGAGTGTCCTGTAGAAATCCCTCCGGCCCTGTGTCCAAAGGGAGCAGGCTAGTACGGCAGGCTAGCCCCCACGCCTTGAGCATTCCTAGGGACTGGATTATTTACTTGTGGTTTTTTTTTTTTTTTTATACAAGGTTTTTCCATGTTTAACAGCCCTGGCTGTCCTGGGTTAGTAGCTCTGTAGATCAGGCTGGCCTCTAACTCACAGAGATCCGCCTGCCTCTGCCTCCCCAAGTGCTGGGATTAAAGGTGGGCACCGCCCCCCCACTCAAGTGGAGCTGAGATTTTCATAAGCACTGCGTAGCTGGCCCTCAGGTATTTTCAAATGCTCCACTGTACATGCAGCAGTCATTGGGACACCAAGGCAGTAGAGAGATGTTTATTAAGACTTGCTCAGACTGGGGGCTTGGACCCGCCCCTATGCCACATACCCAACACAGAAAAAGGTTTCTATAAAGTGAACACACTTTAGTCTAAGTAGTAGAAATAGTGAGGCCCTGAGACTAGCCTGGAGTGAGGTAAGGCAGTGGGGGGCTCCTCTGCTGGCCAGGCCGGAAAAACGAAGAAAGGCCTTGCTGCCACCTTTGAAGAGGGTGAAGGAAGGAAAGTGTCCTTGAAAGTCAAGCCCCTGTGGGTGCAATCACAAGGACAAATGGCTAAAGAAACGTCACCGTGAACTGTCACCCCCAAGAGTTCTTCCCACTGGATCCTGTGGGGGCGCTGCAGCCTTCACGGTGACAGAGGCCCCTGAACAAGCGTCCGCGCCGTCTACAAAGTGCCCATGGTTCTCTGTCGACACCTGGCTATGCAGCTTTCTTTCTCTTCGCACGCTTGGCACAGCCCCTGCCAAACCAGCCTCCTAGAATGGGGGGAGCTGGGCTAAGCGGGGCACTCTGGTCCCCAGGTGGGGCGTCTTCTCGGCTCCTGCTCAGCGACTTCCGGCTGTGGCTGCCTTCTTCGCCAGCACGGAGGGGAGTGGCCAAGGAGAAAATGGGGTCTTGCCACCTGACGGGAGGAAAAGCAGCATCAGGCAGGTCTGAGCCCCTCTCGGTCACAACCCTCCCGGGCACGGGAAAGCTGTCTGAGGCCAACTGTCTCAACGGTGGGTGGGCTTTGGCTAGTAGCAGCCTCGGTGTCACCAAGCTACAGAAGAGCTTCAAGGGATAATCTCCTTGGGTGGCAACTCCAAGGCCAGCAACAGCCCTGGCTGGCCTCTTTAGTGTTTCATCCACTCCTAGTGGGCTCGGCACACACAGGAGGGGCAGTGCTAGCTGCAGGGCGGCTCCATCACCAAGGATAAGTTGTTAGCAACTCTGGGCCCCACCTTTCACTTGTATGGATGGGGGCAGGTGGACCAGACCCTTTTCCCCTTCCCAGACGGTATGACAGGGATGGGAGGGAAGGCCAGCTGACCAGGGAGGCATGGCCTACAGACTACACCATGAAGAAATCATGTTTCTGACTGAGATGCAGAACCACATATTATAAACATAAGATACAGATAAGCACTGATTAAAAAAAAATGAGCTAAGTTAATGTTTAAAAAAAAATCCGAAAAACAAACCAACAATAACAACAAAAAACAATACAGCACAGGAGAGGCCCACGTCACAGAACACACCACAAACATAACATACAAGAATTGCCAGGCCCAGAGGTGAAGGGATCCTTAATTTCTTGAACCCTTTGATTAAAAGAAGTTACTGATTTCCCCTCTAAGACCCTGAAAATTCACAGAGAAAGAAAGTGTAAACTTTTCACTCAATACACACCAAGTCTAAAATAGCACACATTCTGCATCAAGGCAATTTGATTACGCTTTCCCCAAACATCCCAAAACCAAGGACACAGATTCTGTCTGACCGGAGTCGCGCCATGCTCACCCGCACAGGTGCACCCAGGCTCCAGGGATCTACACGATGGCAGGCCCCCCTCTCCTCACAGAGATTCGAGGCGCCATACCAGTCAGGGTGGAAGGGTGTGCACAGGTGGTGGAGCCTCGCCTCCGCCAGTCCCTCTGGAGGCTCACAGAAGACAGACACAACCCGTCACACGGAAGGGCAGGAACGGGGCCCTGCTGCACCCACTCACCGGTCGTAGACAGGGATCTCCAGGCCCAATTCATCCATGAGGAGCTGCATGACATCATCGCATTTCCCATGAAGCTTCAAAGCAGCCCAGTCGTCCTTCGGGGTCCACTGAAGACAAGAAAGGCAGACAAGAGTGACCTCCCGTCCTCTGCTTCCCCTGCGGCTGCAGCCCTCTCCAGGAACACGGACCTGCACAAGGCTCCCAGGACACGCTGATGCACATCTCCCTGGCCCTTCTGAGCTAAGACTCGGGTATGAGGACGCGCTAAGCACCCATGTTACCTGCAAGTTCACAATGTAGAGTTTGGGCCGCCGGCTAGGAGGCTTCGTCATGCACCAGAGGCGGGGATACTTCTTGAGTACCTGCCGGGATGGACAGATGTAATGCAGTAAGAGATGATGATTAAGACGGCGAATCTAAAGCTCGCTAAATAGTGCTGGGCGGGCAGGCCCGGAACACACTCAACCTGCGATGAGTTCACGGTACTGCCAGCACGCACCTTCAAGCTGGACCCTAAACACAGGATCGTGTCTGCTTTGCTGGCAGCCTCGGTCGCTGCCTCCCAGTTCAGAGGCTGCCCCAATGTCCCCCTCTCCCCAAAGTGCACAATGGTGTCCCGGAGCTGAGTCCCACACTTATGGCAGGACCGGCCAGTCTGGTGTCGGTGAAGGGCGGTTCTCTCCGTCACATCGAACACTCGTACATACTCCCTGTTAGGGATGCAGGAGGTGCAGACCTGGGGACGAAAGGGCACGGTAAGTGAGATCTGTCCCTCACCCAGGCCCTGTGTCCCTCTGGTACTGCTCACTTCAATATACATATTCCCGTGGAGCTCGGAGATGGCAGAGCGTGGCAGCCCGCTGCGCAGGTGGAGTCCATCACAGTTCTGAGACACCACGTGCTGCACCTGGGAAGCAGAACAGGAGGTAGTCAGGAGGGGATGGAGGAGGCACCCCGCAGCAGGGAGATTCTCCTGAGCCCAGTCTGGCCAAGGGAAGGCCCCGTGGTGGGAAAGAGCCATGTTCTCCCTGACTAGCTCTGATACACTGGGAGCATCCAGGAGAGCAAGCCTCTGTACTACTCCTTCAAGTTAGGGAGCAGCTCAGGGCATTGGACTAATACCCTCTCGGGTCATTCTCTTTCAGGTCCCCCAAGAGCCCAGGCAGATTCCTTCCCCTTCTTGCTCAGCAGCTCTCTGGAGGTTTCTGATAAACCTCCCCGATAGCCACGATGTTGTCTAAAGCGCCACTCACCCCAACCCAACCGAGACTGAATGGGAACCTGGGGACTAACAGTTCGGGACAGGGGTCAAACAGGAGCCTGAGCTGCTTGGGGCTGTTCACGGGGTCGACTGGGAGGTGACACAGCAGCTTCCCTCCTGGGCTCTTACCAGCTTCTGCTCATGCAAACGGGTGATGCACATGTGTGTGAGAGTGGGCTCCGCGTCGCTCAGGTCGGTGGCACTGTGGGGTACGGGAGAACAGAGGTGAGAGCTGCATCAGGCAGGTCGAGTACTCTCTAGGCAGGCGAGAAAGCTGGAAGATGCTCACCTCACACGCCTTCCTTTCTGAAGCAGTGTCCATACTCCATTAGGGCCCCGATAGTCCGGGATAGAAGCTGCCTGCACAGTTGGACCAAAAGATAAGTCTACTGAGAGGGAGTCACCCCAGGCACCACAGAACGTACTCCAGGTCTGTCAACAGACCAGTATCCGCTCCATCCACTGCTGACCTGTCTGGGCCAGTTCACCCTTCCAGACTCCTCAGGGTCCTTCCTGGTAGGATAGGTCACTTCCTGGTAGTGTCCACATCTACCTCAAACATTGAAGGGCTCACGGGTGTCCAAAGGAATAGGACTTAGTGTTCAAGTCATGTTCAGCAAAGAGTAAGCCCGGAGAGGAAGCACACCTCTGTCCAAATACTTATATCCTGGCCAAGTTTATAGACAAAACCTCCTGGATGAGATAAATGTCAGCTAACTTTCTATGGAAAAACAGAAAGCATTTAGGATCTAAGAGTCTTTGGATCCTAGCTGACGCAGCCCTGTGTCCTCACTGCTGCTTATGCTGGGGAGGTACCTGCCCTGACCAGGAATCCCAATACACGAAGGATGAGAAAGGACGAGAACGTTTTCAAGCTGCACGCAGCATTTAGTTATGGCCAGGTTGGAGGAGGCGATGATCGATATCACTGCTATAAAGTCGTAACTGGGCGGACCAGTGCAGGGCTGAGGGTCCCAGACGTCCGAGTAAGAGCAGCAAATGCTCCTTACATTACTACTGGGCCACTGCTGTCTGCTCCCCAACGCCACGATTCCCTGCAGAGTGCTACTCAGTGCCACGCCAAGAGCAGGGCTGCCCAAGGGCTCCCCGGCCTTGAGGATCGCATGCTTGACACTGTGCTCGTCTGTTTAAGACCGTGGCTGTTATCTTCTAACAAAGGCCTTCTTTACCGTATGTTTCTATACGTATTTAGATCTGTGCACTATGTGTGCCTGTGTACGTGACTCTCAATCGATCTCCACCTTATTCCTCCTGAACCCATTTGTTGAGGGGGGCACGCTAGTACCACGACACACAAGTGGAAGTCAGACAACAACCTGTAGCGGCCAGTTCTCTCCTCCACCACGCGGGTTCTGAGAGCCAAGCTCAAGCAATGAGCCATTTCACTACCCTTCCCGCTTCGCACTCCACGACAAGGTCTCTCACTGAACCCGGAGCTCATGGATTTGGCTGGGCTGGCTAGCCAGCAGGCTTCGGGAGTCTTCTTGGGTTGTCCTTCCAGGGCTGTGATTACAGGAGGTCTTCGAGCTCACACGGCAAGTGCTCCACGGAGGTGGAGGTTTCTCTCCAGACCACCTCGGGGATCTTGAGAACAGAAATCACCTTGGCTGACCCTATTCATGCCACAGGCCACACTCACCCTTGATCATATAAACATGTCAGTTCCGAGCCAAGAGTACGGCATTTCTCGTCTGTACCTGTTGTACTGTGAATCAATCTTTCTTCTTTTTTGTTTGTTTTGAGACAGGGTTTTGCTTCAATCTGTGAGCCAGGCTAGCCTCAAGCTTTTGGTTTTGTTCTTCCTCCTCTCCCAGGCTCCACCTCCTGAGTCCCTAGGTTAGAGGTCTGGGATATAACACTGGTTTTCTATTGTCTTTCTTAAGGAGTAGGAGACCAGGAGGAAGTCTAGGGCTCCAGTCTGTCCACATCATGGGGGCCAATCGTCTGTCTCCTTCACTTTAACGGAGAAGACACCAGCAGTCAGCTGGCTACTATGCCCTATTTAACTGGCTGTCAGAAGTCAAGTGTCCTCAAAGTCTTTCGCTTAGTTAAATTACTACTATTATTATAAATAATAATGACAATGCCATTTTTAAAACAAGGTATTGTTATTATTATTATTAATGACCATTTTTAAAACAAAATCTCTGCATAGCCCTAGCTGTCCTGAAACTCCCTAAGAGCACGTTGGCTTTGACCTTACAAAGATCCGCCTGCCTCCGGAGTGCTAGGGATTAAAGGAGTGTGCCACCACGCTCAGCTTGCCTTAGTTAAATCTTAAATCCAGAGTTGTTTTGGGTCCCTGAGAAAAGAGGACGCCTGGGAGCTGCTTCAGAGGTGACTGTATGAACTTGGGTAGTTACCCAACTCCAGCACTGCGCAGTCCAAGTTTGTGTCCCAGAAGGGGGCGCCCTACACCTGATCCAGCCCGCAGGCCCGTGCCTACCGTGCTGATCCCGGCGCCTGTATAGACCACCAAGTGTTTGGCATTCCGGACAGCTCCGGCCAGTTCCCGGACCTTCCTTCGCAGCTCCTCGGGGTCATCACACACCTGCGGGGATCCGGGCTGGTCATACGGATCACCGCCTGCAGCCCGCCACCTGCAGCCCGCCTCCCGCAGCCTGCAGCCCGCGACTCACCTCCTCCTGACGGCGCTTGAGGCCCTCACGCCGCCGGCTCCGACCCTGCAGCTCGGTCACCAGATCCTCGCTCTCGGCCAGCAGCCGGCCCTCCTCCGCGCTGCGCTCTGCAGCCGCCTTCCTCAGGATGCGTGACACCTGCGGACGGGCGAGAGGTGAGCGATTGCACGCGCGGGTCCGGCCGCGGACGCGACGGTAGCCTACCTGGCGGAGGCGCTCCCGCTGCTGCTCCTCCCGCAGCCTCCGGACACGCTCAGCTGCCTTGCGCTCCGAGCGGCTCAGACCGCCACCGGCTGCCATCGCTCCGTGGACTGCGCTTCCGGCTTCCGCCTCGCCCGGCAGCCGCAGAGACGCATGCGCACGCCCGGTGCACCACGCCCCTTCCGACTCGCCCTTCCCACCCTAATTTCACCCCCTCCCTTCTTCTCTTTGCAAAGAAACACCAGCAGGTCTCTTTAAAAGGCGTTTATTGATCATATACAAAATAAAGAAAACCTTATATATCACAAACATACACTATGTACAGCAATAAATACCCGGGGGGCCAGGCCCAGCGCCGCCCCTCCTGGACAATAATTTAGCAATAAATACTGCGCAGGGCACGGGTGGGCACCAAGGCTGCTGTCTGCTGAGGCCAGACGGCTGATCGCCCTGCACTGGTGCGAACACCCAGGCCTCACCTCGCAGCCAGATCCCTGATGACCCTACCCAGGTGCAGGAGACCGGGTCTCACCTTGTAGCCACACCCCAGACCCTCCTCACTTAGATCTTAGGACTCCCACCTCATTTAGGGTACTCTCTGCTAACCTCCCCCTGGCTTCAGCCCTGCAGGGCAGGCAGGGGCTGATCAACTCTGCTTGGACATATCTCTCAGCACCAGGAGACCAACAGAGCTGGACACACAATAGCCCTTGTCCTGTTGCCCTAAGTTGCCAGGAGAAGGCTTTCTGTACCCACTCCCATTTGGTTAAAGGCTTCAAGGACTAGCAGACAGAGAGGATGGGAGGAAAGATAGGACTGACTGGGGCATAGAGTTGCTGGAGGGGCTGAAAACCCAACTGGGGTCGTAGAGAACAGGGAATTCTGTCAGGGACACTTCCTAGGACAGTCCACTTCAAACTTCCAGAGACACCCATGCTGTTAATGCTGCCACTCCAGGGACAGAATCGTGTGCAGCGGGCCCAGCAGGTGTAGCACACACCCAGGACACATGCCAGAAACAGGCAGTTCCACGCCTCTGCGTGGTACCGGTTCTGTCCTCTTCTCCACAAGGGCTTCCAAACCAGGCAGCCAATGGGGACATGAAAACATGCCAAGAGGGATTATTCAGTGGCTTTTGGGGGGAAAAAATCGTTAATGTGTTGGTTCCTTTCACCAAACCACAGCCTAAAAACGTAACTCAGAAGATCCCAGAGCGGAAACAGTGCAGCAGGCTGTGGCTCAGACATCCCAGCTGTGGATGGGAGCTTTGGCCAAGTGGCCACACCACAGAGGGAGGTAGCAGGGAAGTGGCCTCACCATCTCCAAGTGGGTTGTAGCTTATCAAAGCTGCACACCCTGGCACCGAACACCAAGGCTGCTGCTAGCACACACAGAGCACACACAGACCGAGATGGTGGACTGAGGAGAGCCTGCAGGAACGCCTGGTGAAGACAGCGAACCCAGAATAACTCAGGGTTGCCATGGAGGCCCTACGCTAACGGTACAAACACCCAGGTTAGCAGCCAGACACAGTGGAGGGGGAGGACTCGCCGGGACCATACTCTAGAGGAAACTGATCCACCCCATGTGGGTTTTCCTGTGAAATCTGAGTGTCCATGTCCAAGGAAGGAGGTCAGGTAGAGTCAAGGGAGGAGGGAAGCCGCACAATAACAGTTTACTTAGCAGAGTAACCTGGGAGAGCCTCAGCCAAAGCTCTCCGTAGCTGTGTCGGAAAGCAAACACAACACCCTCACAGCAGGAAAACAGGATAAACAATGATCAGAGAGACAGCCAGGAGTCACGCCTGGACACAGATCTACTGTCGCGAAATCAAGAAGGGAAGAGGGGCTCAGCAGGGAATGTTCCCGACTCGGGGCGCAGAGGCAGATATGAAGGCCACAAGCACGGCCCTACCCAGTGCAGAAGCTACCATCTGCTGCTTCTGTTCAACACACGCACGGTCTCAGCCTCCTCTCCCCACATGGACGGCCACGCTCAACTGTTTGCTACCACTCAGCCAGGACCAGAGAACTTGGAAAGCCCGCCCCTCTCCTCTGCTAGGCATGGGCATAATCCACCCAGTTCTGCTGCCACGGTCAGGATCAGCAACTCATCTGGGCACCAGTTAGAGAGCCCAAGGGAGGGGGTGAGGTCACCTGGTAACGCATAACTGACAGTCGGGACTCCCATTCACATCTGACCCCGGCATCAGCGGGAGTGTCTGAGCACCTTGAGCCAAAGAAGCCCACCACAATGCCAGGGCTGGCAGAGGTCCTGCTCCCAGAGCACTGCATGCTGGGTTAAACTGAGTGAAAATCCGCTGCCCACGAGGTAAAGGCCTATCAGGCCAGTCTTTCCTTTCACCAGCTCACACTCTGTGCTTGTCAGGGATCCAGGCCCCCAGAGAAGACACCAGCAACGCCAGCAAGAGGACAAGGGCCATGCGACCAGGTGGGCATCCGCCTACGAGGAGCTTCCTGAGCCAAGCCTGGAAGGTGGGCAGCCTCCCCTGGATAGCTGGGGTGAGGAGGCAGGCTTGGACCCTGCGGAGAAGCACCTCCAAGCCGAACAGCGGATCCCTGGAAGACACAGATCCTGAAGGGAGGCATAAGGGCCCAGAGCCAAGAGCTGCAGACAATGGGGAAGAGACAGACCCGGCCCTGAAGCCAAAGCCCTTGTCTGGCAATGGTGGAGACCTCCAGGCTCTCACAGTGAGGCAGGGAAGAATAGGTGGCCCCCAATCGGGGCCCCTGACCAATCTGCCCGGGAAACAACATCCCACAGAATGGGATTTTAGGGATAGGTGGGTGATAGGATTCCCAACCAACAAGGTAGGCCTCTGGGGTGGCCTAGCCGAGGCCCCAGTTGAAGCCTAGAGGAACAAAGCTGAGGCCAGGAGGAAGACAGCCAGGGACAGATAGGACGCAGCCCCGTGGGCACCCACAGTGACTCCTTGGTCCCTGCAATGCCACCATCCAGGACCAGAGGTGGTGGATGTGGAAGCAGCATGGGGGCCCAACACGACTCCCAATTTCACTGACTCTGCCACTCCGCCAACCCAAGCCCTAGACCCACATGCGAAGCCAAGGCTCAGAGGGACCTCGTGGCAGAGGAATGGACAAGTGCAGAATGTGAGCCGGCAGGCAGTCTCCCATACTCCAGTGGAGTAAGCTCTGCCTGGGACCCCAGCCCAACCCAGGTCCAGCAAGCCAGCAGAAGCAAAACCACCACAACAACGACAAAAAAAGAAAAAGAACAAACAAAAAAAACCCGAACACACACACACGAAAAAAAGACCCACACACAGGGACAGCCACAGGTCAAAGGTCACCAGAAGCACCAGCACTCTACGGCTGCACAAAACCTCACCAGGCACGGACAACACCACGGCACCGGCAAGACGGAAGCAGGAAGGGCAAAGGAGTAAGTCACTTTCGGTACAATTGCAAAAGAGATATCAAAGAGGACGGCCTCTGGTCGGCTCGCAGCTTGGCTTATTTTTTTTTTCTTTTTCTTTTTTTAAACTAAGTTTTATAAGTAATGTCTCATAACTCTGTGTATAAAAACTAAACTCCAACAGCCACAGAGCTGTCCCCAAATTTACAAGAAAGGGATTTTTTTTTAACTAGCAAAGTTTCTACTATACTTTCTTCCCTTTTCCATTTATACGGTCAAATGTGTTTCTTTTTTTTTTTGTTTGTTTTTAAGACAATTTTATAAATACTCTGTAGCTCTTCTTTTTTTTTTCTTTTTAGCTCTTAAACATATAATTTAATAACTTCGTAAAAGGAACTTCTCTTTTAAATAAAGGGCTATATAACCACACACAGGTCATGTAAACAGCAACACCGGACCCACCGCAGGACACACTGACACACCGGCCACCCACACTTATAACCGGCGATTTGGTCTTATCCAGTGCACTGTGCCAGGCTCCAGCACCATGGTTCCTGCCCCAGTGCCAGGGCTGGTGGCCCTGCTCATCCAGGGCCTTCAAGACATAACCACTTTTCAGGACAGAGCCATCTCTCCCTTTCTGGATCAAGCTGAGAGGCCCACTGGAATCTGAAAAGAGCTCTAAAGTCCCACTGCAGGCCACCAGAGAGGAAGGGCAGACCTAAGCCCAGTACACTTGCCCACTTGTACTCTTGTCCATTCCCACAGTGCCCACTCTGGACTCCTAGCTTGCATGGCCTTGGTACAAAGGGGTTAGGGGCAACCCAACATCACTGTTGAACTGACCAATCCCAACGTACAAAACACACGCGTGACGACAAGGATGATATCAAGGGGGCTCAGCCCAACGCCCCTGGGTGCAGGTTGTGCTTTGCAGGGAAGGAAAAGGGGAAGGGAGAGAAGAGACAGGAAAAGGAAAGGAAGAGGGACAGGGCTGCCAACTTTGCCACGCACTTAGTGGCCCCTTAAAGACCTGCCTGGCAACTGCACGTGTCCCTATGACCGAGCATCTGTCTTGGACTTTACTATCGTGATGACGCTGGTGGCAGCTACCTTGCCAGGGACCAAGGGCCCCAGGCCAGCAGCAAGGGGACCCCGAGCTGGGGCCACAGGGCTGCGGGCCACGGTCCTGGCAAAGTTCTGCAGGGCCTCGTACTTGGAGCGCAGCGCGTCAAGCTCCAGCTTCATGCTGGCGTTTTCAGAGGCCAGCTTCTCCACCTCCTGCTGCAGCTCCGCCTTCTGCTTCTCCAGCTCCTCCTTCTGCGTCACCCGCTTCACTCGGCAGCTAGCCGCGTAGCCGCGGTTCTTGAGTGTGCGCCGGCGCTGCTTCAGCTGGATGATCTCTTCCTTGGATAGGCCTCGAAGGTGCTGGTTTAACTCTCGCACCGACATGGTCACCAGCTCCTCGTCGGTCAGGCTGGTGCCATTCTCTCCTGGCTCCCGCTTCACCTGGAGTGGAACAGCACACGGGGTCACAGCAGAGCAGGAAAGCTTGCTCCCCCCGCCACCCCCCAAGCCCAGAGTCTCCACTCACCTTTAAGGCCTTGTTTCCTTTATTGGGGGTCGTCATAACCCGGGGGCACAATGAGCAGGCACTCTGTAAGACATGGAGCAGAGGTCAGGACCCTGTAGACTCCTTTCACACCCCAACAGGAAGTTTGTTGTCCAGTGCTCAGCCCACAGAACTTTGCCCCCCACCTGACCTGAGGACAGCCCTGGCACCTTGCTTTTCCTGAGCCGGGCTGCTTCAGAAGGCCCTTCCCTAGAGAGCCAGTGGGGAGATCAGGAGGTCTTACCCAGGGAAGAACCCGCGGTGTGAAAGCAAAAGACAAAAGGAGCAGAGTGAGATTAGAAGGTCTGGGCTGCAGGAGGGGCAAGCCTAGAAGGAAGCTGAGCTTTAAAAATAACCCCAGTGCTGCCCCGGAGGGCGCTGTTCCTGGCGACTCACGCTGACTCAGCACATCGCCTCCCTCTCTTCCTGAGCGGTTCTCCCGTTCTTGAGGCCAGCCAACAGTCCCCCAGGAGACCCACTACTGGGACCAAGAGCAGGCAAGGGTCAGTCCGGGAACCTGTACTCCAGGGTCCTACTTTCCACACATGCTTCCCTAAGCTGACCCTGAGGACAAAAGAAAGCCCTTTCTCCCTCTAGGACTTAGGAGGCTGCTTCCTGCCTCCTTTTGGCAGGGGGCCAACCAGGTTTGCTCTAACTGTGCTGACTGGGAACCCTCTCACCTTCCAGGTAGCAGGCAGTCCAGCTGGGAGGAGCTGAGCCCAGGCCCTCCAGTCCTCCCTGTCCACCTCCTCTACAGATGGAGTAACCATCCTGTGGCTTGGTTGCAGCATCCTGTGCTCCTGCCCCACCCGACACTGTGCGTTTCACAAGGGCCCCACAATGAGCAGAGGGGAGGGCACTGCTGGCTGGAAGCAGGCAAGAGTTAGCCCCTTTGGGTCACCGGCTAGTCTCTGGCTCTCTGCCTAGGGTCAGTGACCACAGGGCCAGGGAACAAAAGCAAAACAGCTACCTCCTACAGTCAGCCGCCCCTCTGGCTCTCAATCTCGTGCTCAGCTTTCTAAAGCCTTGCCAAGAACAGTTGTGTACACCCAGGCTGGGAATCCCCGCTTAGTTGAGCACCTATCAGTCCCACGGGTAAAGCCGCCTCCTCCCCTTTCCAGGTTGGAAGCAGGGAAGTGGGAAGGGACTGCAGGTGAGGTGGCTGCAGTCTCTTTCAGAGGAGGCTGTAAGCACCTCGGGCAACAATGTGCTGGGGGTACGGGGTGGGGTGCGCCTTACACTTCTCAAGAGAACCAGCATGTGAGCTAGGGAGGCAGAGCCCCTACCAACTCCTGGTCTTGCACAGGAGGTGTGGCTACATGCGAATATTACGCAGAGGATCTTCTCTCCAGGACCAGATTAAGAGCATTTTCAAAGGCAAGAGTCCTGTCAGATCAAAGAGAAAGAGGGAAGCCAGAACTGGAGGTCTGAAAGGCATCGGCCTTTCTTACAGGCTGGCCCCAGACCCGCACCAGGAGCGCAGGCAGAGGTGGGAGAGACAGCCCTAGCAGGAGCTCCCCTCACAGCTCAAAACAGCAACTTCCTGCGATTGCACAGAAAAGTGCAGAGTGTGGTGGCTGGGAGCTGAAAAGTGCCTCCTCAACAGATTTCACCCTCTACTGAAGGCCTGAACTCAGCACAAGTACAGCCAACTGCCTCCCGATCAAAGGTGTGTGTGTGTGTGTGTGTGTGTGCACGCACGCGCGCAAACGTGCATGGTATACTCATATGTATGCTTAAGGGGGAGCAGCAAGCCTCAGCAAAGCCAGTGCTTCCAGCTGCCTGCCTGGCTTCTGCCAGCCTAGGCGCACACAGTGATTAGGCAGACAGTTTGGGGGGACAGCTGTGCTGGGGGGTAGTTCAGAGAGCTTCTGAGGAAGAAGTTAGAGAAGTCGGTCAAGACCAGCTGCCCCCCCCCCAACTCCACCGTCCTCCTAATACTGACAGCTAAGGATAATCACACCATGGCTAACACCCACTCAGGCTACCCACTCAGGCTAACAACTGGACAATCTGAACATCAGACTCAGGCAAGACACCGACCCTTGCTCAACCTTGCCTGCAAAGTCCAGTGCAAGAGACATGAACTTAGGTCTCTCCTCCTTCAGAAACTGACATTATTGGAAAAGAACTTCAAACTTTGCGTCCACAGAAGCACGGTGACTCCAAAAGCTTAAACACCTTTCTGAGACCTGGAATCTTCATAGGCCATAAAGTCCCACCCCCAAATGAAAACAGCTGGTACCTACAAACAGCCTCGGAGCTAGGTGTGGTAAGTGCTTGAGGGGACAGCCCTATGCACAATCCACAAGGTCAACTTCAGCTAGCCATGACACCCCGGGCAAGGAAAGCAGTACAGAGAAGACAAATATCCACACATTCACGCAAAGGTGGAGGCCACACCCCACACAGGCTGTCACTTCCCAAGACTTCGCAGCCATCAGGTCAGACACCCAACAGGGCACACACTTTTTCCCCAACTTCAGGCAACAGTGGGACCCCAAACTCTTCTGACAGGGTAAACGCAGAGGTAAATGAGAACTACATTCTCCGCTCCATGCTTGCACCTGAAAACTCCCACCGGCTACTAGATCCACCCTTTCCTCCCTTAGCTCGCAAAGCTGCCCCGGCTTCCTTCCAGCCACACACCTTTCTTCTCCCCCGGCTCCCAGGCTTTTCCGTCCGGGGCCGACTCAGCCAGGGTCACTCAGAAGGAAAGCCTCCTTCTCAGACAAGTAGGCTCGGCCCACCTAAGCTCCTCCCCTCGGCGTACTCTGACCGGTCTTCCAGTTTGGGGAACTGGACCAGGCGTGGGACCTGGACCGGGAGCCCAAGAGCCTTGGAGGGATGCGTAAGCCTGGGGCTTTACCTTCCACCGCGGGAGTAACCTGCGGCGCGCCCCTGCAATGCCTCGGCCTCTGCCTCCAACTCACAGGTCCGTCAAACTTAAACACGACCCCGGATCCTGGCCCGACCTTCGCCGCCCGGATCTAGCCCTGCCTCCCGCTCAGACGGCCCGATAGCGGGGCCTGGGCCCCCCGCCCCGGCCCAGCGTCAGCAGGAGCACCGAGTGACCTCATGCTGATGACTCAGCACGTCTCCGCTGGGCTCGCACGCGCGTGGCGAGCCCAAGCCGCTCAGCAGGGTCTCCCCGCCACCCCTGCCAGCCCGCGCGACCCCGCCCGCTCGGAAGCCGACGGACACCTGATGAGTCAGCAGCTCGGTGCGAGCCACCCCGCTGACCCGGGGCCAGACGCGCGGACCTCGCCCTGCAATCGCGCCCCCCGCGGGGCACCCGGGGTCTGCCGCGCGCACGCCCGCTCCCAGTCTCGCCCTCGCCCGGTCCGCCAGCTCCGGGGTGGCGCCGGCGAAGAGCCAGCCGGCTTCGGGCCGGCGGAGAAACCGAGGCAAGCGCCGCCGCCGCCGCCGTGGGGTGCGCCGCAACCCCGAGGCCAGGCCCCGCCGCCCGCCCCAGCCCCGCGCGCACTCACCACACTGCGGGGCCCGGGCGGGCCAAGGCGGGGCTGGGGCGGGGCCGCGCGCGCGCGCTCCGGGGCTGCGCGGGGCTGGGGCGGGCGTGGAGGGGTCCGGGCCGGGGGCGTAGGGGGACTGGGCGCTCGCGCGGGCCGGGCCGAGCGCGCTAGGAAGGCCGGGCCGGACCGGGCTCAGAATCCGCCGCCGCCGCCGCCGCTCCTCAGACGTCACATGATGTTTGGTCACGTGGGCTCCATTCATGAAGCGGCGACGCGGCTGGCCCGAGCTTAAAGGGAAAGGCGCGGCGGCGACCCGCGAGGCGAGCGCGCCCCCAGCGCGCCTGCGCAGCCCCGCGCCGTCGTCCTTGGCAACGCGCCGCGCCCAGGCGACGTCTCGCGGGACTGGTTTCGGGGCTCGCCCGGCGGAGCGAGCTCCTGCCGGGTCAGGTTTTGTCGCGGACCCGGACGCTGACGGCTCACGCTCCCTGCAGATCTCCACGCCAGCCCAGGCCGAGGTCTATGGGACAGAACCTGCGTGGGTATTTTCGGTTTTGTTTGTTTTTGTTGGTTTTTTTTTTCCTACTTGGATACAGGTTTCGTTATATAGCGGACACAGACTGGCTTTGAATTCCGGACGATGCTCCTGACTCTGCCTCCCGGGAGCCGGAATCGTACGAGCGCCACCACGCGGGGTCCTGTTTTGATGGTGGGACACAGTGGTGTGATTTCTTACCCCATTCTGCAGCGGTGTCCTCTCGGTTCTGCATGGGTCAGAGAGCTGGAAAGGACGCGGCTGTTGAGGGGCACAGTCCAGACCCCAGCCCATGTTCCCAAAATGCCCCAAGATGGCACTGGGCCCCGGAGGATGCTCACGGATGATCCTCATCTCCACACGGTGCTAGGGACTTCACCTGCAGCTGTGCAGCATCTCTTTGGGTACCATGCATGCTCTGTCATTAAGAGTTGTGCACCTCCCCAGCACCCGTGCCCCCACCCCCAACTACAACTGCTTCCGGTGCATTCTGCTGCTACTCTTCCTGTGCAGAAACTTCCCCTTGCTGTTGAAAACCCCGGAGAATGAAGTGAAAATAAAAGGGGAAAAGAAGGATAATGGGAGAGATCAAGTTTTCATTCCAGTTTCAGAACTTTCTGCTTGGCCCTCCCTTCTCAGGTGGAAAGCCTGGGAAGATGATTCATCCTGAAAGGCGGGTGACGAGGGAAAAGGGGCAAGGGGGCTGGCGATGGGTTTTTGTGTGTGTTCTTCGTGATTCACTGCCACTGAGTAACAGATGAAGGTATGGCAGAAGCTAACCCAGGATCCTCTAGTCCGTTCTTCCAGCTTCAAGAAACTTATTTTATTTTATATTTTTTGGAATTCCGCACCTCAATTTATTGACCCCATCTGACCTGTAGGGCTAAAAGTTGTTCTTAACGTGGTATTTCTCTGGGGGTGTGTAGGGGGTCTTTATCTCTCTCTGGGTGTAGCTAGAGTCTCAGAGTACAGGGCTTCTGTGAACGTGGAATTACTCCTTATACCTCGGAGTTTCTGTTCTTTATCTTTTTTTTTTTTTTTTTTTTTTTTTTTTTTTTTTTTTTTTTTTTTTTTTTTTTTTTTTTTTTTTTTTTTTGCCGTAGTTGTAAGATGGAGTTTCACTCTGTAGCCTAGGCTGGTTTAAGCTCAGCAGCAACCCTCCTGCTCCAGCTTCCATGCTGGGGTTATAGGCATGAGCTTCCATGCCCTCCTTGTTAGTGTCTTTATTTATGAGGATGAGTTCCACTCTGTTGCTCAGATTAGCTTGGAACTCTTGGACCCAAGAGTTACTGGGACTTTCTGGGCCATGGTGGTACACACCTTTAATGCTAGTACTCAGGAGGCAGAGACCAGCATGGTCTACAAAGCAGGTTTCAGGACAGCCAGGGCTACACAGAAATCCTGTCTTGAAAAAAACAACAACAGGGGCTGGAGAGATGGCTCAGAGGTTAAGAGCACTGGCTGTTTTTCCAGATATCCTGAGTTCAATTCCCAACAACCACATGGTGGCTCACAACCATCTGTAATAAGATCTGGTGCCCCCTTCTGGCCTGAAGGCATATATACATGCAAAATAATATATATAATATATATATATATAATTAATATATATAATAAATCTTAAGAACTGGGATTCCAGGCATGCAAACTTCTCAAGCTTTTCCCTACCAATGTTAGGGGTCAAACCCAGGGTATGAGACAATGCTAGACAAATGCTCTATCTTTGGACCACACCCACCACACACACACACACACATACACACAGATACAAGTAAAAATTAGGTCAGAGGAGAGGCCTAGTGCATCCTTGTGTTCAGTATCTTCATCACTGAGTGCTGGTTCCAGGGAGCCCCTGAGCCACTCCCCCACCCTGCTGAGAGGGACTGGAAGGGTGGGTGTAGTGTGCTGTGGAATAATCCTCTTGTGTACTGTGAAGATTTGTCTTTCCTGTTGGCTTAATAAAATGCTGATTGGCCAGCAGCCAGGCAGGAAGTATGGGCGGAGCAACCAACCAAGGATGATGGGAAGGAGAAGGGTGGAGTCAGGAGTCGCCAGCCAGACACAGGAAGCAGGACATGAATGTGCCATGCTAATACCATGTGGTAGAGCATAAATAAGGAATATGGGTTAATGAGTTCGAGGCCAGCCTGGTCTACAAGAGCTAGTTTCAGGACAGACTCCATAAGCTACAGAGAAACCCTGTCTTGGAAAACCAAAAAAAAAAAAAAAGGTAAGAGCTAGTTAGTAATAAGCCTGAACTATTGGCTGGGCATTTATAATTCCTATAAGCCTTTGAGTCAATTGTTTGGGAAACAGCAGCTGAGTAGTTGGGAACAGGCACATGGGAGAGAAATATCCGATTACAGTAGTATTGGGCTAGGAAAATACCAACTCAAGGGCAGCCCGGCAGGATGTGTGGGTTGGCATCAGGACTCGTTCTTTCGTTTGCTGCTCCTTGCCCTTGTGTCACCTGCTCAAGTACCCTGAGTACATGCTATGGGGTCCTGGGGTGGCCGCGGAAGGGTGGCAGCTGCTGGGCTGATCCCCAGTCATGTTCCCAGTTCCTTTACATCCTGGTCCTTGCAGCGTTCAGTCTGACTTCCAATCACACATCAGAATCATCTTTCCTTCCACTTTCAGGGAGCCTTGCTCCCCCATCCTTGCTCAGCATCCACAGGAACCTCACCTTGTTACAAAGTGTGGGCATGTACACACCCAGGGCCACACGTGTTACAGGAAATAATCAGGGATGAACTCTTCTGGAGTCCGTGGGGTTGTGGTGTGGACCTGCTTCTTGAAGGTGGAGAACCCTGGGATCGGGGTTAACCCTGAGGCTGGTTCTACATGTCACACCACTCATCCCAAGGATTCCGTGGCGAGGGGAACACTCCAGGAGGTGACCCACTCTCCAGACTCTTCCTCGGGGTCGGCAGGGTCCTGACACCTGTAGAGCGGTGACTAATGTGCTTATATTCATGCAGCGAGGCCTGAGGGACAGTAGAATCCATATTGAAACAAGACCCCAGGAGCATATAACTGTGGCCTGTCACTGGTGAAGGGCAGAGCTGCCTCACCATGTAAATCTACCCACTCAGGAACCCCCGCCCGGCTCCCCACACGGGCTCAGCGTACTTGTCCCGTGAATAGTGGTGGAGAATAGAGAACAGAGAGGTTCAGTAGGTTCGTTGCACGAGTCTTTCAAACAAAGCTCTCTTTTGCAGAATAGTACTTCAAGAAGTTTCATTTCCAGGCAACCCATCTGCCCCACAGTTTCAGTACAACCAGCTCTTGGGCAGTGGCTCAAACCTCCTGGTCTCCCATGCCTCCAGCACTGTTTCTTACCACAGCTGGATTTTGTCTTCCAACCCTCTCAGTTGTCTCAACCAGTCTTGGTTCTTTCTGAGCTGTTTGTGGGAAACTAGGAAAAGGGAGTGAGATGCTGATATGAAGCCCCCTGAAAGACATCTCTCCTCTGAGCAGCCCGCTCTCCGCTGCACAGGAAGCCTCTGGCTCACCTGTGCACCCAGTCAACTCTCAGGCTCCCCGAAGAATGCATATATCACCTTTTGAGGTGGGGACCTCATCTTCCCGGCTCCATGCTCAGTGGCTTCAATTTAGAGAAACATGAGCA